GAGCGCGCTCACCCTGTATATGATAAATATGTTATTTTTGCTCGGATCATTCCCGTTTCTAACCACAACAACGTGGGGAGTAGACTTGCAGTGGCATCAATTTTTTATCGAGGAAGCCAACGAATATGTCTCTGTTTGGCGGGAGCCATTCGCCCGGAGTATTTCCAACTGCCATCAATCACGAATTTATCAGGAGGAGCCGAAAAGTACATCATTAGTTTCATATCAACAGTAGCTTTGCTCGTCGGACATTAGCCGGATGGTGGAAAAGGGTCATATTTCACGTTCCGGAGAAAAAAAATTAAGATTAGCCGGAAAAACCGGGCGACTGGTTTTTTTTTTTTCGACATACAAGGGCGCTTCGAATAGTGCGATTTTTCTCGATAGGGAATATTAATTCAAACACCTGTATAGCGATGCTGATCTGTTTGCACACACGTCTAGACCCTTGCCGTGTAGATCCCCCGGATCCCGAGAATCCTTAGCCCTTCGTCCTGCGATAACTGCATAATGTATACAAACATGATTGATCGATGCGGCAAAGCGTTCCGAATATAGGTTGTCCGTTAGGAAAATAAACATCATAAATATAAAACGGTGGCGCAACAATATGTGACATTATTCGCAAACATTTTTTTTCTCAATACACTACTAAATTCGCATTAATATACATAATACCTACACCATAAATTACGAATTCAATACATAGGGAGGTTTTATTCGAAGACAACCTGTATTAGCCGCTCGGCAAAGGACGAGGAAGAAGCGTAATCTACTGCGTGATCCTTCATGTCTCTATATCCTCATATCTCCGGATCATCGTTGCATTCAGTTGTGTGACAGATAAAGGTGTCGGGAACATCGACCCGGATTCCAGGTCAATCGTATTCCCCGCTTCGGGACGAAAAAAAATCGATGGGAATCGGCGATAATGAATTTCCCGACTTTCGCGAAGAGATCCAGGAATGCCTTATCGATCGCCCGATATCCGCGGTGTATAGGATATAAGTCTTCGACTGCGCCAATTAAACCCGTTCGGAAACGGCCCGAATGGCGCAGAGAGTATCGGAAACCGCGAATAAAATTAACACCTAAAGTGCTCTTATAATTAGGTTAGCGTCCTTTATTGTTATTGTCGCATGTGGGGCGGGCGCGGGTAATTAATTTACCATCGGTTTTAACGGTCGGGCGTTTCGGGTTCTTCCCTTATCGAACGGATTTAGCGGTAGTTTGGGAGAATATTTTCGCTTTGCTACTTCATAAACGTCTTTCCCGATGCCGGGTTATTTACGGCGCGCTGGAAAATAAGCGAAATAAAAAAAAACCGGAAGGAAAAACTCGCGGAAAATTCTCCGTGTGTACGTTAGAAAACGCATCGACGAAGGAATCACAAAAGCAAACGTTGTGTGTGTGTGGAAGCGAAGGAATAGAGGAGACGCGCCGGTTGCCGTGACAGAAAGATAAATACACCATTTAAAAGCGTTTAATATAGTGGAAATATTTACTATGCTTCGGGAATTTTCTCCGTTCCTTCGCGCATTCGGCTTCTCCAATTTTATTCGCATAAAAAACCCGTTAATACGCCGAAATTTAAACATTTACAACGCCGCTATAATAAATACTCGAAAGCAATTACAACAAGAATGCTCTATATAGCTGTATATGGTTAATAGAAAACGGGAGACATTAAATTCCTCGAAGTAACGCCACTGTAGGGCAATAGAAATTCGGTAGGGGTTCACGAGAATTCGGCACGGGGGCACGTCAAGTCGGTATCCAGGCATCTACGTTAATACATTTTGTGCTGTCTTGACTTCGAACACGTGAAGCTAATTGTGAATTTACACTCGCCGCGAATGCGAGATTAGGCTTCCAGTTCGGGCTTCCGAACAGTCGCGCTGGAGACGTCATTGTATTATACGGGAGAACCGGGGAAATGGAAATTGTTTTTGCGGCCGATTAGCGGGAAATTTAGCGAGGATGTTCAACGTTCGGAGGAATCGGGTCGTTTTGTTTCGTTATTAATTCCGACGATTACACGTTAAATACCTAACAGTAGGAGATATATCTATACTATATGAATTTCTTTGCTTTTGGATGAGTTGTAACGGTGTTAGATGATTTGTTTGGCGTGGCAAATATACCGGTTGTTTTACTTTCGCACTTAAATCAATTAGGTTTACTTGTGTATTCGTGCAACGTTAAAACCAACTACCGAATGTGAGGTAAATCCAATACGCAAACGATAACAAACATGTAACGCTGATAGTCCGGATCAAACGTAAACATGATTATCTAATGTAAACTGTCAAGTATCTATTTCCTTTCGATCGGCGTGACCGGTATATCTGCTCAATACTCATACCTATAGTCTCTGATCTGCTGAATACACAATGAACCAATCTAATTTTTACTGTTTCGTTGGTAAAAAAATACTCACTTTCCAACAAAATAAAGGGTGTTAATTAATTGAATGCCGATACTTCAGGATGTGAATATTTGGATGATTTTAAGAAGAAAAGTTTATATCAATATATGCCCTAAAACTCTTTTTAAAAAATAATTCATTCATTCAAGGTAGATTCAGAGTAGATTCATATAGTAGATTAAGTCCTTCTTAAGCGACAAAAAGGCGGGGTTTGGAGTTCAAGTGAAAATTCTTTGGGGGAATATTTATTTGTCGGCTTTAGTTCTAAATTCAATTAGAAGCGAAAATGAAAATAAAACACGTGTGCATCGTAACAACGGGCGAATTGTTCGCTGTAAATTCCGCTCGAAAATTGCGGCGTGAAAATTTCAGTTTACGATGCGGTTGTAAAACGCTTTTCCTTACAACTAACCGATGTTCGGGAGATTTTACGGGAGTAATTTTTCGTTAAACTAAATTTAATTTCTCGTTATTTAGCGAGCGATTCGGATATTTTATCACAACAACGCGATCGATTATTACAGTATCGGTCAAAAAATAGTGGACACTTGTTTCTGGCTTTACAAACTCTCCATAAATTGGTAGAAAAGCAATATTTTCATTCCGTTTTTGTTCTGGTTTGTAGGTATTTTATTTTCTAATTAAACCACATGAGGGCGTTTTATTTGAATGTGTCAAAAAAAAGTTAGAAGTCTAAATGAAAATATATGTCAGAATTTGGGTGGTCATAAAATAGTGGACACCTTAAGTTAAGTGGATCATGAGTAGAAAAGTTTTATCTGCTGATGTTAAAAAACTGCTTGTTCGTGAAATTGAAGAAGGTGCAAGTGTTCGTGAGGTGGCATCGCGCTTTGGTGTAAGTAAATCCTGCGTTTCAACGATCCATAGAAAATGGAAGAGTACGGGAATGACAGAACGAAAAAAAGGAAGTGGCCGACCATTTAAAGTTGGAGAACGTGTTTGTCGAACATTAGTTCGTCAAATTAAAGCTGATCCCCGAAAAAACAGCACCGATGTGCGAAGGGCAGCCGCTGAAAATTATGGAGTTACCATCTCCACTTCGACGGCTCAGCGGATTATTCGGTATTATTTTTAATTTCCAGGTGGTTAAAAGACTTATTTGGTAAATTTTAGACGTACTGGGCTTATCGCTGCTAAGCCTTCTAAAAAACCCCTAATATCAAGGAAGAATGTCCAAGCTCGCTTGAAATTTGCTAGAGAACACCTTGATTGGTCAGTGGCTGACTGGGGTCGCGTCTTGTGGAGTGACGAAAGCAAATTTAATTTGTTTTCTAGCGATGGCATACGGTATGTTAGGAGACCTATTGGCTCTCGCAACAATCCCAAGTACCAAATACCTACGGTTAAGCACGGTGGAGGAAGCGTTATGGTTTGGGGTAAATTCCCTCATTTTGTCACATGTAAATTTTTAGTCATCCTAACATTATATATGCATATAGGTTGCTTCAGCAGAGATGGGGTAGGTCCACTGATAAGGATTGAGGGCATTATGAAGGCCGATATGTATAAAAACATTCTCGAGCAACATATGTTACCTTATGCCGAAGAAAAGATGGCGGACGACTGGCTTTTCCAGGACGATAATGATCCTAAACATGCCTCAAAGCTTGTGAAGGAATGGATACATGTCAATGGGGTGAGAAGAATCGTCTGGCCATCGCAGAGTCCGGATTTGAATCCGATAGAACATCTGTGGGAGCATTTGGATCGGCAAATTCGGGCTCGAACGTTTTCAAAAACCGGCGCACTTATGGAAGTGCTTCAGGAAGAGTGGGAAAGAATTCCACTCAATATTTTAGAAAATTTGGTGGATTCCATGCCTCGAAGATGTGAGGCAGTCATTAAGGCAAAAGGTTATGCCACTAAATATTAAAAAATTGTTATTTTTACCTGTTTTTTTGTTGATTTTAAAAGTGTCCACTATTTTATGACCACCCAAATTCTGACATATATTTTCATTTAGACTTCTAACATTTTTTTGACGAATTCAAACGAAACGCCCTTTTGTGGTTCAATTAGAAAATAAATTAACTACAAACTAGAACAAGAACGAAACGAAAATATTGCATCTCTACCATCTTATGGAGTGTTTCTAAAGGCAGTAACAAGTGTCCACTATTTTTTGACCGATACTGTACGTGCCGGCTCGGCGAATTTACACCGGAATTATCTTGGCGAGTCTTCAACGGCGATAAAATTTCTTAATTCGCCGCCGATATAAAATTTCCCGGTGCTAACGCAGCTGTTTTCCCGAACGAAAGCGGGCCGGGCGACGAGAGGATGCACTAAATTGCAGTTATTTACAGTAACTATTCAACTACTCCATTTCAGATTTAGTAAATCACTCGGTAAGTACCATTGTTTTATCTGGCCGCGCGCCAAAGTGGATCTCTCTCCTCCCCAATTTCCACTCCCATTCGAGCCCCTTTTACTCTCCATAACACATACACACACACACGACTCTCGACTTAAGCCAAACCGTTTTGTCGACGATTACCGATAAAATTAATCCCGCGGCAAATTTAACGTTTTAAATGTTACTATTACTTACATTGATCCCACGTATAGGGACTCTCCTTTGTTGTCCAAATGAAAAGTGCGATAATAATTCATCCCGCAGGTAAATTCCCGGACGTGATCTGCAAAAAAAAATAAAATAGTTATAGTTCTGAGAAATGAAGTAAGTAGCTCGTAAAATAAAATTACATGTAGCTTGCATTCCTTCTAAGTCATAAGACTCGTAAAAGGCTGTATAAAATGAAATTTCCATGTCTTATCGGACGTGGCCGAACGAGTTAATATATCCAGCAGTCGATCGCCTCGTTAATGCAACGTGTATCACGAGGAGGTCCATTTTTCCATGGAAAAAAGGGCGTTTTTCATTGCGCGGTTTTTTTTACTTTTATCCGCGAGACTCTAAACACCGACGTAAACCGGTGTAAACATGCGTTTGACACGCAATTGATAACGTCAAGTAGGCTATACGTCTCCATATGAGCCATTAAAAAACTTACATGCAAACTGTGCAGAGACAGACGTAGAAAAAAACCGTCTCCTAATGAATTTAATTTAATATAAACTCGCTTATTAAATAACCCTTATTATGTAACAGTCGTTACTGCACCTCTATACCAATAAATCGATTCCCACCTCTATTAAACTTCTGTCAAACGAAATGTCATTAATGTCAATTGCGACATTTATATATCATCGAACGCATCTTAAAGTCCCGCTTAATATTTACATCCCTTCGAATTCCCGGTAGTGAACGTGTTGAAATAGTAACAGGGCGTTGCCGTGGTGATATGTTATATACGAAAAAATATCGAACAAACTCGGCGAGTATATGCGGAAAAATTCCGGAGTGCAAACAAAACTTTTAAATAAAGATACACAGCGAGACCTCCAACTTTTAATGGATGCATCGACGGAAATGTCTACAATAGATCGGAAAATAAATGAAACAAGAAACTCATCGCGGGAGTTTCGAGAATACTAATTTTCGCCGGGCAAGTTTGCGTAATTTAACACCTATGGGAGTTGCGCTGCAGAAAGACAATACCTGGCGTTGTTTGCAGAGGCTCCAAAACAATTATATTTCTAATGCGAAAGAAAACTTAAAGATGGGACCCGGGAATAAGAGCGAACGCGGCGGAAACTTCGCGGAAACTCAGCGGCGGGGCGCCGGGAAATTCGAATGCACTTCGGCGCATTTTACCGAAGTGTTCGGTTTCGAATTTATGAATAATATTAAATGTTATATGCGCATTTCGAGCGGAAAACTTTCCGACGCGTTCGCTCAAAATACAACTAATTAAAAGTTAAGGAAAAAGATCACGTTTCACGCGAAATGTTCCCGTTTTGCGATAGTTGCATTATTCAACCCACTAACCAGTGGAATACTTTACTTTTTCCACAGCGAAACTCGCTCTTTTCTAAAGTAAATTACGACAAAGCAAGGCTTGGAAACCGTAAAAGTAATCCGATTGAAAAGAGGAAAAAAAGAAGGGAAAATAGGAATTCATGGTAAGCCATCTAGCCGGGAAAGCTGTAGGTCAGAAGGAAACTGCCATTTAAATTTTCAGCGGAGTCGAGGAACTAAAACCCGCATATCTTTTCGAGTGGAGATAATGCATCATGCATCACTTAAACACGCTTTTGTGAAGAATTCAAATCGCATAGGAAATAGTTATCGATTCGAATTTTCATTTTTTAGTAGATATAATTTCCCTACACCAACCTGTTGTTTCCTGTACGACTTGCGCCATTTTCTCGTAGCATTTAATTCCGTCCGCGCCCGCCGGGAAATAAAATCAACGTTAATTTTTCCACGCTCGAAATACGTTTAATGATGGTTAATGCCGAACGTAAAAAGAGCGCCCGGAGTTGACTAATGTCGGTAAATATTCTCGAATTTGTCGGAGAAAAATACCGTTCGGTATATTTCGTTGTTTTTGTCTGTCACGGTGTCAACACCGTAATTACGTTAAATTAAGACGTATAGCGGGCCGTTATTTCGAGTTTCGTCTTTTCCACGTTTATTTTTTTTGCCACGGTAATTTGGAAGAGCTCCAACGACAGTTTGTTAGATCAAAATATAGCCGCTCCGAAACCGTCTTCAAAGAGAGTTTCTTACAAATTGTTATTATTTTTGTTGAAGCACTTCATAATTCCGAATTTTCATATTTGCAGTAGATACAACCAGAAATTCCCCTAGATTTTATAGCGCCTCATAAATAAATGAAAAAAGAATAATGATATTGTTGAATTGTAACTTTCTTACAGTACCTAATCATGGCACTGTTATTTTAATAATATTTCTTTGTTCAACTCATGCAAACAAATTTGCACTTACATCCATATATAGAAGAAGATAAGTAGAAGTAAGTTTATGATTGCCGGATAATAAAATGCGCCACCTACGTATACATAGTAATACATCGAAGAGGAAAATCGGAAAACCTCGCCGTTTCCCGGGAAAGCTTCCGTACCGTCGGCGCGGAACGGGCTTTTTGTCTTTGCCCGAAACTTAAAAGTTTTAGTCAACAAACAAGTTTGCCGAAAAGTTTTTGTAGACAGATTGTGCAAGTTTGCATGATGGCATTGTTCTTCGGAAAACAATGTACTTTGCGAAACTTATTGTCTGGCAAATTTTTATTGGCCCCCGCAAACTTGCTGCATTATGGACTGTGTGCCGTGAGAGAGTATCGGCCGCTCTCCGCGGAAATTGAGAACAGAGGCGGATTCGAACAAAAAATATTGCGCGAAAATTAGGTGTAAGTATCTCGGTATAGTTTTCAAAACTGCTGGTCCTGACCTGGTGTTGAGGAAAAGGCAATTATATAAAAAAAACAAAGTTCAAATGGAAACTTCTCGTTAAAAGGATCTCGAATTGTGAGCATTGTTATTGCGACAATTAGGTAACGAATAAAACCGAAATTTTATCAATAAAAAAATTGATTTAAATTCCGAACTATCTTAAAAATACCGATAAATCGAACGACAAAAAAATAACAGAAAAAAAAGCACTTTCCTCGGATGCCCCGAAATCCCGGAACAAGAATGCGAGAGTCGCGATTCCGGCGACTTCGTCCCCTTTTTCCGGGCATTCAATTCATGAATAGAGAATAGAAATAAAAACCAATGATTCGGATAGTTTCATTTGTCTCGGCGAAAGACTCCTATTGTTTTTTATACGTCGCTGGCAAGCCGAAGAGGCTCTTAAGTCCGCCATCCGCTAGAGCGGCTCCGATCTATTTTAAGAAACTTCAATAAACCAAAATTATGGTCCGTCGCCGTTATAGATTGAATTACTGCGAAAAGCGATTTTATAGGTTCGCCCAAATGCGAGGCTACGACCGGATTACTGGCCTTTATAACAAATAAATTCACTGGAATAACTCGCTCTCTTAAAAAAAACTCAAAAATTACAAACAAAAAAACAGTCTCTTTTTTAAATATTCCAAGAGCGTGTTCCACTTGACAGTTTTACATTGTTGTTATATGGAGTAACTAAGAACGTTGTTTGCTTTATTTATTATTTAATAGCCTCTATTTAAGTACTGTTTAAAAGACTCTTTAAACGATTGATTAGCGTCAAAAAGGAGCTGAATAAGGGCCATAATATTAAAGACGTACGAAATAAATAACAAGTAAATTAAGTCTCCCCGGTAACATGGAGTCATAAATTCGCATCAAGTCCAAAATTAATAAGACACCCCCCGTTTAATAGTCGAACGGCGGCGCGCCCTCTCTTTCACCGGGAGAGGCGAAAGAGCTTTGATAAAGTCATCGGAACGCATCGGAAACACGTGCATATTATATATTTTTCCCGGCGTCGCAGATGTTTCACGTCGTATATCAAGCTCTCGCTGTACTCCCGTTGTCTCGGAGAGTGCGGCTATAAATACGGGAAACATCCCGCCCCCGGGTTTTACTCCAGGTCGCCCGAAAAAATCTATCGCCGGTTCCGCAGTTGATGCGCTAGATTTTTCCTCCACCCGAAGCCGCGAATTACTGGGTGTATTAAAAAAAATCTCACTGCGACCCCAAATCCGGCGGCGGCTTGTTTTAATAAAACCCCCTTTAGGAAAACAAACGGCAAGAAGGAGCGAAATTCACCTTCGGCGCGCAGATAAATAAAAACGTAAATTGTGCGTAAAAGCGGGGCCATTTGCATTGCCAATTTGGCGGGGAAACGCTCGAAACACAAGCGAATTACATCGTTCCGAGTGCACTTGCACATAAAGAATCCGAAATTGAATTGAAAAATTATGCCGGGGCGTCCGCCCGTTTGCGTCCGCCGTCGCGCCGGTCTTAGGGCGTGATTTATTAACGGCCTGACGTTTTTTCCGAGCCCAAGAATAAGGGATGATTATAATTAGACACTTTAATGTTTGTATAAATTAATAAGAATATTTACCTACAAGGAAGCAAGGAATAAGGAGATGATTATTAGACACTTAAATGTTTGTATAAATTAATAAGAATTTTGTACAAGGAACAAAGAAATAAGGGATGATTTTAATTCGACAATTATACACTTACATGTGTGTCTAAAGTAATTAGAGTATTGTACAATTAACCAAGAAATAAGGGATGATTATTGAGCACATAAATATTTGTATGAAAAAGCATCAGGAGTATTGTACAATATTGTATCTAGGATCGTATAGTTACAATTGAATTTACGGGTAAACTCGATTATACGGTATACTTTCCAATATTTTCCGGAAGGGAGCGAAAAAATTCCACGTAAAAACCGGATTTTCTCTTTCGTTTTTTTTTATATATATCCAAGTTAAAAGATTAAAGAGAAGAATGCCATGATTCAAAGGACCTCCACTCGAGCCTTCGGATGAGCGGAAAGAAAAACGTTCACGTCAGTTTTAAAAAAGTCAAGAAAAATAATACCTATAAACAAAATTCGATCCGACCTTTTTCCCTTTCTACCTAATCCCCGTCGTAAACCATCAAAGAATCAAATAAAAATTCTTTTGTTCCGATGCTTATGTGTATTTTTAAAAGGGCGCTTTTCCGGCACTCCCCCGGCATTTCCCCCCGTTTATAAGATCCATATGTGCGTTCATTTGCTTGGAAAAATATTTTTTTATTAATACGGGAAAATGCCTTCGCGTAGAA